AAATAAATAAATAAAGTAAAAAATATATGAAAAAAGAAAATACAGACTATTATCTCTCATGAAATTATACAGAAATCCTCAAAAAGACTTATCCAGTTGAATCCAACAATGTATAAAAAATATATACCATGACCAAGTGGGATTTGATCTAGGTATGGAAGGCTGGTTCAACATTTGAAAATCAGTCAATGTAATTTATCATATCTACAGATTAAAGAAGAAAAAATCATAGGATTATGTCAAGTGATGCAGAAAAGCATTTGACATAATTCAACACCCATTTAAGATAAAAACTCTTAGCAAATTATAAATAGAAGGGAATTTCCTTAAATTGATAAAGATCATCTATACAAAACCTACAGCTAGTATAATGGAACAGGACCCTATGGTCTATGCCCCCCATGTCCTCAGCCTGCCTTTTGTCTGTGGAAAAGCTTTAGCCAAAGAATAAGTTTAATCAGAGAAGTGAGAAAATGCAGAAACAAAGGAAAACAGTCAAAGAAGACCAAATAATAATAGTTTAGTCATCGAGCATAGTCAAGGACCTTTAGCTCCTTCTCAAGGGCTATAGGTAATATTCTGAGCCATATCCTGTGAAGTGTCTTATAGGTACTGAAACCCCCACCAGGTGGAAGAGGTTAACTACATGATGACCAGACTGTAGCCATGACATAAGCTGCTATAACTCCGAGAATTGGCCCCAAGGAAATGGGAACAAACTGATCCTGGAACTGAAGATTAACTGTACTTAAAACAATCAAGATGACGCTGATCAGACCACCAATGACCAATTTCAAGATGACTGTCAGAGTTGACTGTGCTGTTTCTGCATGTACCCCCCTCCCTAAGCCTATAAAAGCTCCTGCTCACTGATTGTCAGTTGGGGGGAGTCGGCCTTTGGACAGACGTCCGCCCTCCCCTCCCCAGTTGCTGGCATCCAAAATAAAGCAAACTTTCCTTTCCACCAGTATGGCCTCTTTATTGGCTTTTGAGCGGCAGCCGGACCCCACTTTCGGTTACACTGGTATCATAAATAAGGGTGAATGCTTTCCCTCTAAGATAAGGAACAAGGCAAGGACTCTTGTTCAACAAAGTATAGGAAGTTCTAGCCACTTTAATAAGGCAAGAAAAAGAAAGGAAAAGCATGCAAAATTTAAAGGAAGAAATAAAACTGTCCTTATTTACAGGTGACATGATTGTTTGCATAGAAAATCTCAAGGAAATGATACAACAAACCTCATAGAACCAGTAAGTGAATTCAACAAGGTTGTAGGATATAAGATCAACATACAAAAATCAATTGCATTTCTATATACTAACAGTGAACATATACTAACAGTAACTGAATTTAAGACATATGCCATTTATAATCACTTCCCTGGAATGAAATCCTTAGGTATAATTATAACAAAACCTGTACAGGATCAGTATACTGAAAATTATAAAATACTGATGAAAGAAATTAAAACCACCCAATTAAACACCTACCATGTTCATGGATTGGAAGACTCCACATAGTAAAGATATCATAGTAAAACTGCCCCTAATTACTCTATAGGTTTGATGCACTTCCTATTAAAATTTCAGCAAAGTTTTTGTAGACATAGATAATAAGCTTATTCTAAAATTTGTATGGAGGGACTTCTCTGGCGTTCCAGTGGTTAAGACTCTGTGCTTCCAATGCAGGGGGCATGGGTTTGATCCCTGGTTGGGAACTAAGATCCCACATGCTGCACAGCATGGCCAAAAGATTTTTTAAAATAAATAAATAAATAAAATTTGTATGTAAAGGCACAGGACCTAGAATAGCTTAAACCATCTTGGAAAAAAAAAAAAAGAATAAAGTGGGAGTAATCACTCTGCCTGATATTAAAGCCTACTGCATAGCTACCGTAATCAAGGGAGTGTGGTATTGATAGAGAGACACTTAGGTCAGTGGAACAGAATGGAGAACCAAGGAATAGACCCACACAAATATAGCCAACTGATTTTTGACAAAGTGCAAAAGAAATTCAAAGGAGAAGGATAACTTTTTCATCAAATGATATTGGAGCAGCTGGGCATTCATAGGCAAAACCATGAACCTCAACTTAAACCTTACACAGAAATTCACTCCAAATGGATCACAGATTTAAATGTAAAATGAGAAGCTATAAAACTTTAAGGAAAATATTTGAGAAAAGTCTTGGGGTCTAGGGCTGGCCAAAAGCGCGATCCGTAAAAGAAAACAAAAATGATGTCAGACCTCATCACAGTTTGAAAAATTCTGCTCTGTGAAAGACTCCGTTAAGAGGATGTAAAGGCAAACCACAAACTGGGAGAAAACATTTGCAAACCACATAACCAGCAAAGAACTAATACCTGGAGTATATAAAGAAGTCTCAAGACCCAACAGTTAAAAAACAATCCAATTAGAAAATGGGCAAATGATATAAACAGTCATTTCAGCAAATACAGGTAACAGATAAACAGATGGAAAGATCAAGATCATTAGCCTTTAGGAATATGTAATTTTGAAATATGAAATATCAAAATAGCTAAAATAAAAAACAGTGACAACACCAAATGCTGGTGATCGTGCAGAGATACTGGATCACTCATGCATCACTGGTGGGAATGTAAAACTGTACAGCTACTCTGGAAAACAGTTTGACAGTTTCTTATAAAACTAAATATGTAGCTACCATAAGACCCAGCATTTTCACTGTTAGGCATTTATCTCAGAGATATGAAAACTTATTTTCATACACTGTACACTGTGTTCACAGCAGCTTTATTATAGCACAATTCTGGAAACAATCTAGATGGCCTATAACAGGTTAAACCAACTGTGATACATCTATACCATGGATACTACTTGACAATAAAAAGGAACAAGTTACTGATACATGCAACAACTTGGATGAATCTCCGGGAATTATGCCAGGTGAAAAAAGCCAGTCCCAAAAGGTTACATCCTGTATGATTCCATTTATGTAACATTCTTCAAATGTCGAAATTACAGAAATGAAGAATAAATTAGTAGTTGTGGGGAGCAGAGCATGGTAATAAAAAGGCATCAGGAAGGAGCCTTATGGTGATAGAAATGTTCTGTAGTTCAATCATATCAATGTCAGTATCCTAGATATGATATTGTACTATAATTTTGCAAGATGTTGCCTTTAAGGGAAACTGGATAAAGGATACACAGGATCTCTCTGTATTATTTCTTACAACTGGATATGAATCTACAATGACTTCAGAATAAAAGCTGAATTATGAAAAGTGGCAAATCACTTGGAAAGTGGTTTGACAGTTTCTAATGAAGTTAAAAATAAACCTATCCTATGACCTAGTCACTCTACTCCTGTGTAAATATCCAGGATTAACGAGTGCATTTGTCCACAAAGAGATTTGTGCAAGAATATTCATAGTAGCTTTATTCATAATAGCTGAAATATGGAAACAACCCAAATGTCCATATGCAGGAGAATGGATAAACAAATTGAGATGTTTTCATGCAATGGAATACTTTTTACAGAAAAACAAACTACCGATACACACAAAATATGGATGAATCTCACAAATATTATGTTAAGCAGTGGGAATCAGATACAAAAGAATAAATAGGGTATGATTACATTTATATGAAGTTCAAAAACAGGCAAACTTATTGGTGCTGATAGAAGGTAGAATACTGTTTACTGGTGGCGGGGGTATGGTATCAACTGGAAAGGAGCTTGAGGGAACTTTCTGGAGTCAAGGAAATGTGGTTATGTAAATATACACATAATGCTAAAAGTTACTGAGCTTTACACTTAAGGTTTTGCATTTTACTATATGTTAATTATACCTCAATAAAGTACGGCAAAAAAAATTATCCCCCATTCATGGGGGAAGAAAGACAGGTCAGCCAATCCCACTGTGTATACTTTGTTTGGATCCTTTTCCAGACTAGCTGTAGAAAAACCTATTTATGATACTTGGGTTAAATTGAAAATCTGAACAGTTTATAATTGATGACATTAAGGAATTATTGTAAAGTTTACAGGTGTAAAATAATTATTATTGTTAAAGAGTTCTTATCGTTTAGAGATACATGTTGAAATAAGTGATATATCTAAGATTTGCTTCAAAATAAAACACATGAGTGGTAAAGATACAAATAAAACAAGACTGGCTGTGAGTTGATTGTTGTTTAACCTACATGATTGGATTATTGTCTACTTTTTACTCCATGATAAAAAGTTAAAAATTTTAAATATGGATAAAAGATACACACAGGTAGCTTTGTTATTACCAATAAAACAGAATAATTGGCCTCTGAGATAGTATGTTCTAAGGATGCTCAAGGAGTGGTAGGGGAAGTTAATGCCCCAAACAAAATCATTGCTTGTCTGCATTAGGTGTCTTTAGCAAGGAGTGAGAATCTTTTTTTATACTTGGAAGGTATAGTTTTTTATTATTTATTTATTTCAATTGAAGTGTAGTTGATTTACAATATTATATTAATTTCAGGTGTTCAGCATAGTGATTCAGTATTTTTACAGATACACTCCATTAAAAGTTATTACAAGATAATGACTATAATTCCCTGTCCTATACAATATATCCTTGTTGTTTATCTATTTTATACATGGTAGTTTGTATCTCTTAATCCCATACCCCTAATTTGCCCCTCCCCCTTGCCTCTCCCCTTTGGTAACCACTAGTTTGTTTTCTATATGTATGTCTGTTTCTGTTTTGAATATACGTTCATTTGCATTATTTTTTAGATTCCATATATAAGTGATTTCACTAAGCATAATATTCTCTAGGTCCATCCATGTTGCTGCAAAGGGAGTGGGCACCCATGTGTAGATAACTTACGTGCAAGTTCTTTCAGTCAAAATGTATTTATGACGATGTTAGCACATAGAGGCACATTGTATCTCTATAAATTGTCCATTCGTTGTAGCATATTGAAGCAGTAGGATTAATTTTTTTTCTACTTTCATGTGTGTTCTCTTGTTTTCCATAAGGACCTGATGTTATTTTATGAGGATGATCCAAAGCCAGTTTTGCCGACAATTCCTACTTCCATTATCTCGTCAACTACATGGTTGTCAGAAGGGCAAACAGATGTCTGTAACCTCTGGGATGCAGGTAAATTAGGTAAAGAATAAAATTTTTACTCAGAAACATGAATAAGAAACACTGGACAGGAATTGTTTTTCATCAGATTTTATTTTGTTAAATATAGCAACAGTGGCTTTAATTTAACTTTGGTCATGAGGGACTGGGTTAGCATGGATAAATTCAACCCACACAGGATCCTGTAACCTTATTTTACTATTTGTTTCAATGTTTTTTTCTCTTTCATTGTTTTATTTAAAAAATTATTAACTACAAGCCTTAAATCTTTTATAAATTTTTTTAAAGCAGAAAATTTAATTTTAGTTCCTTCTCTTGTTTGTATTAATCTTCTCTTTGATGAAGAGTTTAAATTATGATATTTTTCAGAAGCAAGCATTAGATGAAAATATGAAAAAGCATGATGCATGGTATACCACAAATTGGTTAATCATCTCTTGAGTAATTAACATTAGATAATGGCACAGTATAAAATTATCCAAAACTGGCCTCCAATAAATTACGCTATCAAATTCCAACTGGGCTCTACTGCTGCTCAAGATCTGATTGATCCACTGTCGAGCCACTCCATCCCATCTATCCTCCATGAACTCTCAGTTTTCAATACATTCTTCCTCTTGATTTTCTCAGAAAATAGGATGAAAGATCTGCCAAGATGAGAACAAAACATTCTCAGTAGCTTTTATTCCCTTGTATGTCTTTGCTTTTATATCCATCCAGGCATCCTTTTCCTTTTCACAGAGTTGGCTCCTTACGTTCTGAGTTACATCTTCTCCTTCATCTTTGGACCATGCACCTCAATTTTCCCCTTATACAGCACCCTGTTATCCAAAATATTAAAACTGAAGTTTATTAGTATAGGTTTATATTACAAGTTCATATGTATATAGTTCATGTATATGTATATAGTTCATGGCTTTCTTATAAAGCCAGTTGTGAGAATGATGAGGATATTTTAATAGACCCCAAAACAAGAAATTGTGGGTTATGGTGATATGTGTAGTACAAGGTTGGCATTATTCACATGAATAATTGGTTATAAGTGGTTACAGTTTTTTAGACAGCTTGCTTTGTATTCTTAGAATACACTTTATGTAAACTGATCCAGATCCAGAAGTTTGAAAGAATAGCAGTAAGGAAAATGTTTTTGTATTTTAATATCTCCTAACATTTCCACTCCCTAATATTTTTGAACAGACTTTATTTTTTAGAGCAGTTTTAGGTTCACAGCAAAATTGAAGGAGGGTACCAAGATTTCCCCATATAACCCTTGTCCCCAAACGAGCACAGCTTCCCCACTGTCAGCATCCCGCACCAGAGTGGTACATTTGCTGCAATCAGTGGACCTACTTTAACACTTTTTTTAATCACCCAGAGACCATACTTTTCATTTTGGTTCATTCTCAGTGGAGTACATTTTATGGGTTTTGACAAATGTATAAGACATGTATCTACCATTATAGTATTGTACAGAGTATTTCTCTGCCCTAAAAATCCTCTGTGTTCTGCCTATTCATTCATCCCTCCCCTCTAACCCCTGGAAACCACTGATATTTTAACTGTCTTCAAAGTTTTGCCTTTTCCAGAAAGTCATATAGTTAGAATCATGCAGTATGTAACCTTTTCAGATTGGCTTCTTTCACTTAGTAATGTGCATTTAAGGTACCTCCTTGTCTTTACATGGCTTAATAGCTCGTTTCTTTTTAGTGCTGAATAAGATATACTAGAGTATTTATCTATTCACCTACTGAAGAACATCTTGGTTGTGTCCAAGTTTTGGCAATTATAAATAAAGCTGCTGTACATATCCTTGTGCAGGTTTTTGTGTTACATGTTTCTCTCTGCCAGCATTTTAATACAAGTGAATTTGACTATAAATGAGCATCAGAGGCAACCCTTAAGAGGAAGAAGGTCACAAAACATGTCACTTGAGGGATGATTCCACCATTTTACTTGTTTAGGACTCATCTTAATTGAAGGAGGTTTTCCTGTTTTTGACTCTTTCTTTTTTCCAGTCTTTCCTTCACACTGATCTCAGAGATATCTTGCAAATATAGATCTTAGCATTTCATTTTCCAGCTTAAAAACGTTCAACAATTCTCCACTGCCCATAAGTCTAATTTCTTTTAACTGTCATATAAGACTTTTCATAGTCTGGTTCCAGCCCACCTTTTTTGGCCTCATCACCCAATACTGCTAGTATTCACAATACTTCATGACATTCTATTACTTGCTCTTTAGAATGTCTTTGTTCCAGTTACTTCAGCTGTGTAACACATTGCTCTAAAACTTCTATGGCACAAAATAACCATTTATTCCGCTCATGGATTCTCTGGGTCAAGAATTAGGACAGGGCACAGTGGGGATGACTTGTCTCTGTTCTGCGACGTTATGTCTGGGCTTCAGCCCGAGAACACAAATGCTGGGGACAGGAATCATCTGAAGCCTCATTCACTTGTGTGTCTGGTAGTTGATGCTTTGCTGTGTCAGCTGGGGCCCTCAGTTTCTCTCCACATGCACCTCTTTATGTAGTCTCTCCACATGGGTTGGTTTGGGCTTCCTCATAGCATGGTGGCTGGGTTCCAAGGTTGAGCATCCTGTGAAAGAAAGGACCAGGCAGGAGCTGAGTAATCTCAAAGTCATGCTGTGAACTTCCTCCCCATTCAGTTTATCAAGGCAATAGAAAAGACTTGCCAAAGTTCAAAGGGAGGGTACGTAGATGCCTACCCCTCCATGGACAACTGTCAATGGCATGTTGAAAGAAAAGCATATGGGATGGGGTGTGTATTAGCACGGTCATCTTTGGAATATACAGTCTGCCACAATTTTCCATCAAATAATGAATGTTTAACAAAATCCTATTCAAACAGCAAGGCCCAGCTCAAATGTCACTATTGCTATAAAATCTTTCTGCACACTAAACTAGTTTCTCCTTTCAATGTGTTCCTGCAGGACTTTGCCCATACCCCAAAAATAGAATTTATAGTTTTGTATCATAATGATTTAATAAGTTTTATTTATTTTAAAATTATGTAAACAAGTGAATATATTCTGACTTTTAAAATCCGAACTCTGTAGATAGAACTAGAATCCCTCTTGACTGTCCCTTACTCTAACACACTCCCCTGTCCAGAGTTAACTGTTGTTTTCAATTGGTTGGTTACTCTCCAGACCTTTCTTTGTGTGTTTACATATATACATGTACCTTTAGAAGTATGTAGGATTGACTTTATTTTGTTTTAGAACATTGTTCTGTATTTTTTGGAAACTTTTTCTAAGCAGTATCACTTGTCAGTCCTTCAGAGATTTACTATGTGTTTCTTAAACTGTTGCATTGCCTGGATTTTATGGTTTATTTCCATGCTGGTAGCCATTTTGGTGTTTTATATTTTTCACTATTACAAATAATGTTTCAGTCAATAGTTTCCTGCACATATGTGAGTGTTTCTTGAGGGCAAATTCCTGGAAATGGAATCTCTGCGACATAATATATGCCCATTTTCATTTTAGTTAATAGTGCCAGTTAGCCCTCAAAATATCAATACCAATTTACACTGGCTTGCAGTGTATAAGAGTACCTATTCACTCACACCCTCACCAGCACTTGATATTTTTCAAGTCTTACATTTTTATCACTTGGATAAAGGTTGCATTGCATAGTAGGTATAATCTGCACATTTCCACATATTAGTTGTATATTTCTATTTCCTCTTCTATTGGATAAGCAGGATTGCCTGATTATATCCTTAACCTATTTTTCTTTTGGATTGTATGTTGTTGTTAATATAAATTGATTTTGTAGGGACTTCCCTGGCAGCCCAGTGGTTGAGACTTCGCCTTCCAATGCAGAGGGTGTGGGTTCAATCCCTGGTCGGGGAGCTGGGATCCCACATACCTCACAGCCAAAAAACCAAAACATAAAACAGAAGCAATATTGTAACAAATTCAATAAAGACTTTAAAAATGGTCCACATCAAAAAAAAATATCTTTAAAAAAATAAATTGATTTTGTAGCATTTTTACATATATGTTACTAATCCTTTCTATTGCATATGTTGCAAATATCACCTTCCAGGCTGTGAATTGTCTCTAAACTTTCTTTATGGAATTTTTTTGTTCTGTTGGTGTCTTTATAGAAGTTCTGTATTTCGTGTAGCCATTTATTACTCTTTTCCTTCAGAGCTTTTGTTTTTTGTGTTTTTAAGGCGGCTTTTCCTACACCAAGTTCATAGTATGTATTTACCCATATTTTAATTGTTTTGGTTTTTTAATCCTTTGGGATTTAAAGTCTTTGTGAATGGTTTTAGATAGTGTCAGTGGGCAGCCGGTCGTCTCAGTTCATTTTTCTGTACTGTTTTGAAATGACTCTTTAACCTGTACTTAACAGTACCTGTTTTACGACTCTATTCTGTTTCATTGATCCATTTTAAAATTTCCTTTTTTTGGTAACTATTATAATAATTTGCCATAGTGTGAATGTATCTTATTTTATTTAACCAGTATTATGTTAATGGTCACTTAAGTTATTTCCGTATTTTTACTGTTAAAAATAATGATGAAATGACATTATTCTCCTCTCTCAAAAAAGTAGGCTTTTTATTGATATTTTTCCTCAATTTGAAGCAGATTCTCAAGTGCATTATTCTGAATTTCTGTTGGTAAATTCTATCCAGTTCACAAACTTATCCCATCAACAGATGGTTCTAATTTCCATGTTATGATTTTGGCACCTTCAGCCCAAGGCAAAAGTGAAGTGGGAGAGTGATTCTGGTACAGCATCCTCAGTTCTTCTTTTCTTCCTTGCCCTTCCTCTGCCGAGGCGCACAGTGATGGGCTGCAGTGGCTGGGAACACTCACCACACCCTCACCAACACTCTGTCCCTGCCTCACTGGCCTCATGCCTTTCCTTCACTCTCAGAGGGACCACTCTTGAATTTTGTGCTCATCATTTCTTGCTTTTCTTTTTAGTTTTACTACATATGTTTATACTCTAAACGATATATTGTTTAGCT